GGATAGTAGTACTTCTACTAGTAAGATTCGGCATAGAAACAACATATTCTCACTCCTTCTTCACACTTCAACCAAACTACAACGAAGACTGAAGACCCGAAGAAACCTCAAGAATATTCAACCAGCGAACGACCGGTACGATCCCGTGTGCAACTCTCATAGAGCATCGCCACAAATTGATCGCACGGTCCGACGACGACACCGACTCCGGTCCACGGCGTTCAAGTGGTCCGACGACGACACCGACTCCGGTCCACGGCGTTCAAGTGCCCCGACGACGAACCCGACTCTGGTCCACGGCGTTCAAGTGGTCCGACGACGACACCGACTCCGGTCCACGGCGTTCAAGTGCCCCGACGACGACACCGACTCTGGTCCACGGCGTTCAAGTGGTCCGACGACGACACCGACTCCGGTCCACGGCGTTCAAGTGCCCCGACGACGACACCGACTCCGGTCTACGGCGTTCAAGTGCCCCGACCGACGACCGGTACGATCCCGTGTGCAACTCTCATAGAGCATCGCCACAAATTGATCGCACGGTCCAACGACGACACCGATTCCGGTTACGGCGTTCAAGTGCCCCGATCGACGAACGACGACCGGTACGATCCCGTGTGCAACTCTCATAGAGCATCGCCACAAATTGATCGCACGGTCCAACGACGACACCGACTCCGGTCCACGGCGTTCAAGTGCCCCGACCGACGACCGGTACGATCCCGTGTGCAACTCCCACAGAGTATCGCCACTAATTGATCGTGCGGTCCAACGACGACACCGATTCCGGTCCACGGCGTTCAAGAGCCCCGACTGACGAACGACGACCGGTACGATCCCGTGTGCAACTCTCTTGGAGCATCGCCACAAAATCGATCGTATGGTCAGCGGCAATCCAACACATCGGCCTATATATATCTTTGTCCACGGGATTAACTAAATGGTAACCTCTCGTTATATCCGACATCGGGGAAAGGCTTAGACCGGAACTCCGATGCGGATACTCGATGCGCCATTAATAGCTTCGTGTGACATAGATAGTTTGGTCAGGCGGATCGACTAGCAACAGGGACCATACAGGACGCAGAGAAGAGTAATCAACCAGAGGCAAGAACTTACCAATTGGATAACCAATTGGAAGACATTGGGTAATAAATTGTCCTTTTTAGGACAACACTGATTAAAAGAAAGTCCCCCCAAGCGCGCCTGCCTAGGCCTCGCTCGACCCGAACAGAGATTGTGATTAGACGCCACTTAATCGAGCGGGCCTAATACAATTATCTGTTCCGTCCCTAATATTGTACAATAGCAAAAACTCCTTTCATATTATATAAGAGATTAACGGGAAAACAACATTTTCCATCCCCGAATATTGTAAACATAAAAGTTTGAATAGAAATAAAGCATTAATTATATATATAAAACAAATGTATTTATATTTTTGGTAAACGGCTATTCTACTTCATAGTAAGTACCTACCGTTTCAAGTCTCTCTTTTGTATAAATATTTGTGATTTCATTAATGTTCAGTATTGTGTATAGTTAGATTGGGAAAACATAAGACAATACCATTTAGGCAAAACTGTGACTAACACAATCATGCTTTTATAAAAGTTTATGATGTAGGTACCTTCTATTTTTTGATTTAATCTTCTTTATTTTCTGGTACTTTGGTGGACTTTTATGGACAGCGCTTGCACCATGGCCCCTCGATATAGTAATGAGGCGACCAGGCCCATTTCTTTTAGATAAATTATTAAATACCAACTCAATCAAGTCTTCCAATTTATACAATCATAATATAATATGAGTATAGTACATTTCGTAATATTTTTTTATAATTTTGTATTTCTAATGTAATATGTGTTGATGTTTATGGACAGCACTTGCACCATGGCCCCTCGATATCAGATATAGTAATGAGGCGACCAGGCCCATCTCTTTTAGATAAATTATTAAATAGGTAGGTACCTACTCAATCAAGTCTTCCAATTTACATTTTACATTTATATTATGTAGATAATTTGGGATAATTTGAAGAAAAATTTGAAATTAAAGAGAGACTGTGTGAAGTAACAAAATATGTGGTGTGACTTATACATTTGAACATTTGTTATAATGTATTATATTAAAGTTTAGTTAATTTTTAATAATGTACTATAATAAACATTTGAACAATTATTACAATAAAAGTATTTTATAGAGAAACCTGGGTAAGACGAGGACTAGAGGTAGGATGGGACATCGTTGTATCTCAAAAACTATTGATTGTTGGGAAAATTTTTTTTTACAAAAAAATGTGCTATGCTGGTCACACTTTAATAAAATTATTTGATATCAACAAATAATTAAAGTGATACGGTGCACGTGCATATTCAATATAACGGTCATAGGCGATGTAAAATTTTGCAGAATAATGGACATCACATAGGTAATCTGGGACATCACTATTATTACAACACCGTTGCCAATATGCTTAAAATGTTTTTATATTTTAGGTTCATTCGTTCGAAAACTAAATAGGTACGAGCCTAGGTATAATAGGCTCGTACCTACCTACCAAGTGTGTAATAAAGAATTTTTTTTTGGTATACCAATTTTAATTGTTATTTATTAATTTAAACAGTTTTTAATAAACGCGTTTTCATTCAGTATTTTTTCGAATTTTAAGTGCATATTTTAAATCATATTTTGCTTGTTTTTAGTGCATACATATGTAATATATAACACTTTTTTTAATGAATTAAATTCACAGCCCTGCTAATTACTTTTACTTCCAATCATACCTACCACAGTTAATGTTAAATGTTAAATTGTCAACAATCAACTGCTTCTTCAACTTGATAACACTTATAAGGGATGTCAGATTTTTAGCGTACCATTTATTTCTTTCTCTGACCCACGCACAATCATATTTACGTTTAACAGAATCAACCAGAGCCGGTTCAAGGACTTAATTTCGTACAGGCATAAATATATATTTATAATTAATTTATAGTTGATAGGCCAACCTAAACTCCCAAACACAAATATTTTTTTTTGCTTTACTGTTCAAAATTGAATACCAAAAAAATTTAGATTTTCTTTACTTTTTTAATAAAATAGAATTTTTGTATGTTGAATATATTATATAATTGCAAAAAATCGTATAATATAATATTATTAAATTATTCTTGTATATAATTTAAATATTATTAAAAACGAAAATTAGTTACTTATATGATTAGTGAACTATTTTATTTTTCGGCTAATAATGATCGCCTTACCCGTACGCTAGAAATCACTGGGTTAGTGTTGTTACTTTTAATATTAGATTGAATTAACCTATTATCAAACTTGAATATTTTAACCCTTTCACTGTTGAAATAATTTTTTCCTGGGATAACATTTTAGTTTTCATTTATTTTTTTCGTATTGCATATATTGTTATACTTTAAGTATTAATAATGAATATATAGATATTTTTATTTTTTAGTAGATTAATTATAATTTTTTTTTTCTTTAGATTTGTCTAATCGTTTATAATCATTTTTAAATTGTAATTATTTAGACGATCATTTGTCATAACTTATATAATAATTAAAATATCATCAAGCAACCAACGTAACGACGTATGTAATTTCTTAACTTAATATTTTTAATCTAACATTAAAAGTAACAACTTCGTTTTGGTTCTGTTATTCGTACATTAGGTATGCTACGTGTGGATCAAAGATGGAAAGCAAATAATGCGCTGACCATAGATATACAGGGCCGTATTAAGGGACAATGTATGGGGGAGCAAACATAAATATAATCGAATAACAAGCTACATAGTCTCAGTAGTCATACTAGTCAGTACTGCAATAAATGGTAGGTGGCAATATCGTATAAAGGTACGCACACGCTGCGGTAGACTATATATACTATATATAGATAAGTATCTATGGGTAGACGATACGGTAACGATACGGTAACGGTAGCGATAAAATTGAGCTCATAGTTTTATATGAGGCAAACCACATTGGTACGATATTATCGGATCGGTGAACGGTAATCGCGCCGATAATCTTTGTGCGGTAAAGTTTAAAACTAAACGAATGTAATTAGATGTAGATGCGCACATTGCTGCGATAAATCCTCGGTACGGTAAAAAATATCGTATCGTGCTCCGATATTTTTTTAACGTTGCATGCACGATAATTACCGTCTACCGGGCCGATAAATATTAATAGCAATAATGTTTATCTATTTTGTAATAATTATGACATACATAATATGAAGCTGTTTAGCTGTTTAGTTGTAAAACTATATTTAAATGTCTATTGTTTAAGTAGGAATTTATTTTATAGTTCTAAGTTTTTACTAGTGACATTTACTATATATTTTACGATGGGCAAATGTTCTGTGCGCGATGATTGGTTTTTGAAAAGTGATGGGCATAACAATTGTAATACAATTTCCGAGTGGGCAAGAAAACATTCAGATGACCAGGTTTTTTGTATTCTTTGCCAAACATCAATCAGTGTTTCTAATAAAGGTTTCCAGGCTTTAACACAACATGCAGGTTCTGTTAAGCATAGGAATGCTGTTAAAATTAAATTGAATACTAAACAGTTACGACTAGCAGCAACTTCTACAACTGTACAATCCAGTGAGTTAAAAGAAAAAGACAACTCGGGTATACATTTGTATAGTGTTTGTGACAAAAGTGTTATTGCTGAAGTTATGTGGGCGTTTAAATGTATTGTTAGTAATTTTTCATTTTCTGCAAGTGATGGTATCACTGACTTATTCCAATGTACCTATGTTTTCTAATGCTTTGCCTAAAGGATTTTCCATGAGTCGTTCAAAAATGAAGTACTTAATAACTGATGCCATTGGGCCTCATTTTCAGCAACAATTATATAAAGATGTAACAAATGAATATTTTAGTATCATATATGATGAAACCACTAACTCAAGTGGAAACAAAGAGTTACAGATTTTAATTCGGTACCTACTATTCTAGTTCAAAAAATATGGTTTTATCTCAACATTTAGTCACCTATTTTATTGGAAAAGCAACTGCTGAGATATTATTTGAAAAATTAATTCAAGCTTTAGATCAAGCTAATTTACCATTGAGTAAAATGTTGATGTTAGGATCTGACGGCCCGAATGTTAATAAAAAAGTGGCACGCTTAATGAATGAAGAAGTAGTGACCTGTAGAAATATTAAATTAATTGATATAGGCACTTGCAATATACATATAATTCATAATGGATTTCTTAAAGGTGTAGGTAAATTTGGTGAAGATGCATCTCAGTTAATTGTTGCTGTTTACTATTATTTTAATGGATGGCCAACCAGATGGGAGGAGTTTACACGTATTTTAGAAAAATTAGATCTACCAATACTTCATTTCATAAAGCATGTACCCTCAAGATGGTTAACAATCTATAATTCTTCCAAAAGACTTATTGAAAACTGGACAGCAGTTGAAAAATATTTTTTGGATTTTATACCAAAAGAAAAATCGTCCCTATTATCAACAAATAGTTATAAAAAAATAAGAGAAGCTCTTATTACACCAAATATGAAATGTGAAGTGTTGTTTTTACAAAGTAGTTCTCAAATATTCACAAATTACACTGGAAATATGCAGAAAGAAGAGCCTCTTGTGCATATTATGTACAGTGAACTTAACACATTAATGTACATATTAATGAGTAAAATTTTTAAACCAGATAAAATTCCCAAGTCTTTTTCAAATGTAAACGTTGATGAATTGTTTAAAATTGAAAATCTTGTAATAGTAAAAAATGTGGTTGTAAGTGAAAAAATTAAAGAAGAATTTAAAATTTTAAAAACAACAGAAAAAGATATGTTAATATTTTTGAAAAATGCACAGCAACACTATTTAGAAGCATGCAAACATATTTTGTTAAAGTCATCAATTACAAATTCTTTTCTAAAAAATTTGCGTTGTCTAGGTCCCACAGAAAGATGTAAGAATAGAAGTATTAGCCAATTGTTAAACATTTGTAAATATTTGCCTTTCCATGTTGATACAGATGTTTTAATAAACGAGTGGACGCTATTAAAACTGGAAAAAGACGATGAAAAATCTGCTGAATTGAGAATAGATCATTATTGGAAACAATTTTTTACCAAAACAAATTTATCAGGAGGTGAGAAATATCCAAATGTGTCAAAAATTGTCAAGGCTTGTTTATCTCTAGTCCATGGAAGCGCTGACATAGAACGAAGCTTTTCTTGTTCGGGTAGGATTTTAACAGAAGATCGAGCATCAATGTGTGAAAGGACATTGAATGCGATTCTTTATAGTAAAGATGCTCTAAAACATTACAATAACAAATTACATTTGGTATTAATTACTAAAGAACTTATAAATATGGCTAGAGGAGCATATTTACATTATAAAGATTATTTGGAAGACAAGAAAAAAATTCAAGAACAAAATAAAAAAACCGAAGAAGAAGAATTGGCCAAAACATCACTGTTTGAAGAACAACAAAAACAATTAAAAGAAGATAAAAATAATATAATAGAAAAAGAAAAGTCACTGAAAAATTTAAGATATGAAGAAAATAGGAAACGCCATGCAGCGGACAAATTGTTTTTTGAAGCCAATAAACGCTTAAAAACAGCTGTATCAAATAACAATATTGCAGAAGTTGAAATTGCTCAAGCTATGCTTGACGGTGTAAACACAATTCGCAAAGAAGAAGAAATCAAGAAAAAAGAAGCAGACACTCTTCAAAATATATTGGAAAAAAAGAAAATAAAGCTCATAGATAGTTTGTCCAATAAAAATGAAAAAAAATAAAAGACTGGTTTAAAGATCTAATTTTACAAGTTGAAGTATTTAGTAATAGGATAATTAGTATTTTAAGACTTATATGTTCATTCAGACATTGTTAATTTTTCAATTTAATTAATTATAATACTATTAATTATTATACCAAAAAGAAATTAAATTGTGTTACCTTCTATACTATATAAGGATTAGATAGTTTGTTATTATTTTAATAAGGATTAAGGTTTATACCAATAATTTGTTGTTAATTTTTATAATATGTTTACTAAAAAGAAATATAATTTATGTTATTATTACATTTGTTAAAAAGGAATGTTATTTATGTTATTATTACATTTGTTAAAAAGGAATGCTATTTATGTTATTATTACATTTGTTAAAAAGGAATGTTATTTATGTTATTTTTACATTTGTTAAAAAGAAATGAAATGTTATTTATGTTATTATTACATTTGTTAAAATAAAATGTAATTTGATTGTAACATTAATTATTTGTCAAATTTTGATTAAATATTGAACACTTGTAGAAGTTTATATTTTAAGATGGTAAATTATGATAATAAGGCATCTTATTTCAAGTCACTTTTTTTACTTTTCCTAAGATTTTTGTCACTTAAGTCACTTTTTTTCTGAGTGTTTATTGCTATCAGCACTGATATTACCATTATGGCATTAAGTGCTATATGTTATACGTACTACCTTAAGGTACCTAATATAATTATATTATTAAGTATTAAAAGTACAGTAGGTATATCATAATAATTAATATTAATAATAATATCAAATATACTCCTATACTCCCATTCTGCAAATGTGGGCAAAAATTACCTTTAGTTAGTTAAGTTAAGTCAAGTCAACATTTAGAAAGCTATATAATTTAAGATTTAATAAACATTATACTTCACTCTTAAGTTTAAAGTTCACACCTGAAAAAATATGAACTTAACTCAGTTATATAATTAATTTTTAATTTAGCTTTAAGTAAAAGCATTTTGATCAACGTACAGTACGTATATTATTAATTTATTATAATTTTTTGATATACCTAGAGTTTCTTTACAATTAATAATAAGAAAATTAAGACATTAGGTACTTACCTACACATATATTAAGACTTGTATTATAGGCTCATTTACAGAGAAATTATCGTCTTGTGGGAAGGGAAGGGCTTATAACAAAAATATTCATATTAATTTTACATAGCTGTCGGAAAAAAAATATTTTTGAAAATAAATTGGGAGGGTATGAACCTCAAAATGTCTATATGTGTGTCAGATATATCGTACCGCATTACCGCAGCAGTATGTGCTGGTTGTAACGAAAAACGTTCCGGTACGATATTTTACCGTCCGGTAACTCATATCGTTACCGGATCAGTGTGCAAGCTCCGACGGTAAAGATTACCGCACAAATAAAATATTGATTACCGTATCGTTACCGTACCGTCTACCGCAGCAGTGTGTGCGCACCTTAATTCTGGCAGTTCGGTGCCCCGGCGGCTATTATATTACAAACGACATTTTTTTGCCACTCTTAATTTGGCCGTCCCTGCCGCCTGGAGCAACTGCTCCTTTTGCCTCCCCCCCCCCTCCCCCCGAATTCCCGGTTGGGATGTCATCGCCATAGATATATACAACAACTAGATAGCCGTCTTTATATTACAGTTGTGACCAATGTTGAAATCGGCCGCCATTTATAAAGCAGGCAATGTTTACATTTATTTATAATTACTATGATAATATTATTTTGTAAACATTGCCTGCTTTGTAAATGGGGGGGTCGACTTCGATGACAAAAAGGAGACGGCTATCTAGTTGTTGTATATATCTATGGCGCTGACATCCCAACCAGCCACCGATCTTTTTTATTCTATCCCATAAGTAAAGGGTGTAAACCTATATCAACTGATAACGGTAGTTTCAGTCAAAGAGTCAAGTGACTTTTGCAATTCAAGATCCTTTACTACGTATTCGGCATTGTTAACATAACTATTGTACCTTCACACTTTTTCTTCCCCCTTCTCTCACAACTATTCAGGTTCAACCACTCTCATCCCACACCTCCATATGATCGGTATTCTGTCTATCCATCTTTTCTTCAGACTCTAACTTCTATAGCCACTCTCACTATATTTTATCATACAGTCACGGAGCCACCTAAACCTGTTCTATCTTGTTTTCACTACAATATATGCCACAACACTACACAACCTTTAATTAATAAATTTCCTATTCTATCCTCCTTTGTACCTCAACACCTAACTTAATATTCTCATATCTGCTACACACACTTCGCTAACCTAACCTAAATTTACATTTCCTTTTCGCATTTCCCTTTCATATAAGCTAAACATTCTGATAGCGAGAATAATGTTATACCAGTATAGTTACAATACAAATAATTGAAAAGTTGTAGGCAATAATATATCCCCTGATCAATTAACAAAAATAAAAAGAAACATACTGAAAAATAAGAAAATACATACCCCGCGTCCGTGGTGAATCAAAATCTGCTATAAAACTTGGTCTTCGAAACACTGCAAAGTCTTCTCATTTCAGTCTGCTTATGCTATATTTTATTCCCGGCTAAAAAATCTTCACTGACGAATTAATACCATTTCTGAAATAACACGCAGCTTTCAGTAAAATGTTCAACAATATTCTTATGACCTAAGCGTCACGGATATTATATTTTATATGTATAATGTTTAATTTGTATTACACCTACCTAACTATTATGTGTTAGCAAGCCCAGATTAAGGATCAATTGGGCCCCGAGACACCATACACTTAGTGGGCCCCCTTTCAACTTTAACTTCAAAATAATTGTATTATTACATATTAACGACTTTATATTATTGTATAATTTTTTACTATGCAAAAAATATACAGAGTGAATCTTACGTCGTATTATGAATACTTTTCGAATACTGCTGAATAAGAAATTATATAATAATAATGATATATGTTAATTTTAAATTTATCGGATATATTTTAGATTTTAGATTCTGAGCGGATCGATATCGATGACTGAATTAATTTTACAACGATGTGTTCTTCAATTTTTAAATTTTTAAAATGATTTTTTCTTGTGGTCTGTATGAACGATAAGTATTCATAATAAGGAATCAATTTGGCGTATTTACGATTTTGGCGCCCCTTTTTTTCTCAATTTCCTTTTATTTATTATCACAAAAAACTTTTAAGCCACCTTTAATTTAAAATTTACTTTAACTGGTATTAAATTCAATACCGACTCGACAAAAATTGCATACCTGTATCTTGACATTTTTGAAAGTTTACTTTACACGAGCGAACGGAAGCTCGATCCAGCGATTCAAAAAAATTAATAAACTAAGAATGAACGTAAATAGTCCAGGTATTGAAACCGATTTTAGAAACCGGTATAAATCGTTTAAAAACTGAAACCGATGACAAAATCAAAAACAAAATCGGAAAAAATGGGAAATCGGTATTAAATCCAAAACCAAAACCGAAAAAAAAATAGAAACCAGTGTATAAATCGAAACCAAAACAGAAATTTTTTTCAATCGGTTTCAAGCCATTTAAAACTTTAAAAGTGATAATTGATAACCCGAAATGTATATATTTTCCCCTTATTGCATTTATGCTTCCACTAATTTAGAGAACACTTTTATTTTAAAATTAACACTTCCATTTATTCCTAATAAAAAGTCAACCATTATAATAAAATAAACAAATTATAATTTAGATTTCAGCCTTTTCGCCTTTTTTTACAACAATTTAATAAAAATAAAAATACATTATATATATATATATTATATGGAAATATGTAATATATTACTTATTAACTATGGTCCTCGAAAGTTTAGTATAATATGCGTTACAACTTTTAACTGAAATACCTAATTTACAAGAGCTAAATATTTTTTCTTATAACTACAGGTAGTTAATAGTTAAATCAGTAATCGAAAATACTCAGAAAAAAAACATAATGAAAATTGTGTTTACCAACACAATTTATTATTTATAGTAATTTTTCATGATATAAAATTGAGAACAATTTTATTTTATTTTATAATTATTATTTATTAAGTAATAATAATTTATCTACTACCTATACCTATACCTACTTCAATATTTTAGATTCTGAGCGGAGCGATGAATGTATTGGTTTTACAATGATGTGTGTTTTTATATTTTTATATTTTTATATTTTTTTTTGTGTCTGTCATCACGTTTTGGGACAGTAAAAGTGGTTAGATTTTCTTCAATAGTACCTTTTCTGATAGGAAAGTGAATCTAGTTGGTACTTTGGGGGGTCAAAAGTAACCATTTCCCAGTAGTTTTCACAAGCGCCGGGAAAAACAACATAAAAATTAAGGAAAAACGGGGATTTTTACGCAAAATTGGTTTTCCAAAAAATCGATTTTGGTTATTGGTGTAACTCTAAAACAAATGAACGTATATACATGAAATTTTCACTGGTTGTTTATATTTGCATTTTCTATACACGATAACATTTTCAAAATATTTTGATTTATTTTGAACTGTTTAGGGACATTTTCATTTTCCATTTTTTTTTAGTTTTTTTTCTAAAAATATCAATAAAATTTTATTTGTTGGTTGCGAAAGCTTGAAAATTTAATAGAAGGCTCCTAATATATTGTTTCAAAGGCAGATGAAAAATATTAAAAATCGTTAGTCACAATTTTTTTTTATAAGCATTTAAAGTTCAAAAATTGTAAAAATATGGAAAAATCACGAAAATTAGCGAATTATTTTGAGTTAAGAATTCGTAAAAATTTTTCTTTTTAAACCTAAGATTTTAAAATGTAATACAAGATTACTCATAAGTTTGTCTACCTTTATCAATAAAAAAATCTCTACCGGAATGTCAAATTAAATTTTTATGAGCGTTTGAAATTCAAATTTTTACAACATTGGATGTTCACTCGATTTCTCATGTAGCGATTTCCTTATTTTGTTGTAATTCAAAAACGAATAACTGTAGACACATGAAAATTTCACTGAATGTTTATATTAGCATTTCCTATACACCATAGAATTTTGAAAATATTTTGACTCTTTTTGAGCTGTTTATGGACATTTACAGCTTTCAATTTTTTTTAGTTTTTTTTTCTATAAATATCAATAAAGTTTTATCTGTTGGGCCAAAAAGTGTAAAAATTTAATACAAGGCTCCTGATATATTGTTACAATAACAGTTAAAAAATGTTAAAAATACATAGGCACAATTTTTTTTTATAAGCATTTAAACATCGAATTTTGACAAAATTTATCAAAATCTCGAAAATTATCAATCGTTGGAATTAAAAAATTATAAAATGTTGAGTTTTTATAACTAAGAGTTGAAAATTTAAAACAAAGATTCTCTTAAATAATTCTGTAACCAAAAAATCTAAAAAATATATAAACACACTTATTTTTTACAGACATTTTAATTTCAAATTTAGACAAAATTTGATATTTAAACCAAGAATTACGATTTTAGTTATTTTGTTGTGATTGAATAATATTATTCGTGGGTACTTGAAACTTCTAAAGTGTACTATTATATTATATCTATGATAGTATCACGGTTTTTGTTGATGTATAACGCGTTATAAGTATCTAATGGATATTGTGATATGATTAATTTGGAATTTATTATAAGTACCTATTATAGGTCAATTTTTTGTTTAATACCATAGATATGTATATAATTTGTCTTAAACCTAGACTGACATACCGTCTTCGCTCAGAATCGTTTTTCTTATACAATGATATTTTATCATTGAATTCAAATTTAATAGCATCCATTATACAGTGACCCACTTGTAACCTACTGTACAGCAGAGCGACACCCACTTGCCCACCTTTTTTTTTTTTATTATTATTATTTGTTCATTGAAACGACCTCTAGGTCTTCGTCAATGCTTATCACAAATGGGTAGTAGGGAGATCATGTGATCTATTTATCTATGTATATATCACTATGTGCATGATACTATCCCCCTTCTCCTGCAAGAGGAGGCATGTGCGGTCTTCACTCCCAGTGGAGTGGGACCTAGTTGGAAACCAGATGACGCAATCGAACGACAGCAGGGGGAAATGTTGATCGCGTAGAACCACACAAATTTATTTTGCACTGAGCTATGAATCGAACCGATGACTGTGTGAGTCGTAGTCAACTGCGTGACCACTGCACCACTCTGGCCCCCTACTTCAATATATATATATTTTTTAAATGTATTGGAAGCGTTAAAAAAATATATTTTGGGGATAAAGATGGGCCCCCAAAATCAATGGGCCCCGTTATCGTGCCACCCTTGCCCCCCCCCTTAATCCGGGCTTGTGTGTTAGCTTGTCACTTTGTACGGTCCATTGTTCAAAATCTCGTATACAACGCGGACACTTTACGGTCGAGTAAAATGGTATATTGCAGAACGCGGACACTTTGTACTATTATATACATAAAGTATATATATTATAAATATAAGTTATATACCTAAGTTAGCAAGTAAATAACAGACATACGTAAAACGTAAAAAAATTATATTTTGTACCCACGAATTTTAATTTTTAATTAACGACTAAAAAATTTCAATAGATATACTTCTGGAAATATATTTTCTTATATATAATTTTCAGTTAAAATATTTTCCAAGAAAATATTTTATGCAAACATTTTTTATGCATCATAACATTCTGTAAAACTGTGTTCTGTCATATTCCATTCTGGAATTATACACTTTTCGAATTTCTGCAATATCAATTTCTGTATTTCTGTATTTCTACTGATAATAATTCTTATCAGTTTACATTCTGTAGTATTTATTTTCGTTCATTTTATTTTCTGTTCAAATAGGGTAGATGGTACAGTTATTGGCACAATTCATGGAAAAAAAAATAATCATGATACAATAACTTATTTTTGACACGGACTAAGATAAACATATTAAAGTCCTCAATTTAAAAGGTCGCAGATATTCCGAAGATTGGATCCTTTTATGTTTACTATTTCATATGCGTTCACCATGTGGCTATAATTTTGTTAGAAATAATGACATTATGCCATTACCTTGTGTAGGACCATAAGGACCATAAGAAGGTAATATAATAATATTACTTGTTTAAACATTTTTATAAATTAAAATCATGTTAAGGTACCTATCATCTATCGATACACAATGTGGGTTTGATCCAAAATTTCTACAGATGTTTTCTCTTTATATGGCACAAAAAGAAGAATTTCAACGCCATGGTTTGCTCGTGTTTGATGAAATTTCCACTTGCGAGAGTATTGCAGTTAACTCGGCAAATCTTACATATACAGGTAAACAATGAAACACAGATAAAATTGGTATTTTCTCATATTATTTTCTAATATTTTCTCATATTATTGAATACCTTACAGGTCTAGTCGATTTTGGTGAAGAAGGTGAGAAAGGAAAAACTTTCAGTGATAAAGCAAATCATGGATTAGTATTTATGTTCATACCATTAGAAGATAATTATGCCCAACCCGTTGGTGTTGCATCAAAGGGACCGACTAAAGGTGTAGTACTAACTCAGTTAGTAATAAAAGCTATCACTACTCGAAAAAGCAGGAGCGTTTATCCATGGAATTGTATGTGACGGGTCAGCCCCAAATCGAAAATTTTGGAGCGAAATGGGAATATGTGGAAAAATTAATAAAGTTAAAAATTGGTTTGAGCACCCAACAGATGAAAAACGGAAAATATTTGTGTTCTCTGATACGCCACATTTATTTAAGAATATCAGAAATAGGCTCTATAATAATAAAGAGCTCAAGGTTTGTTGTTTTTTTGATATATTTTAATATCTAAGAGCAAATTCCACTAAAATTAAGTATTATGATTCTCAACCTCCAACACAAGCTTTATTGCTTACAGGAGGTTGATAACCCATATATTTATTACAGAAAAAATGTTAAAACATGTTATATAATAAATGGTTCTTATTAAAAAAAAAAAAAATTTAGTTTATATAACTATATATTGCAATACTTAAAAGTTAAAAATGACAATGGCTGGTCTATGTTGGTTATTAGAAATTTAATTTAATTTATTCATACCAATATCTAAATAGATTTTTGATTTCAAACATTATAGTAAACTGACCAGTAGTAGAATTTAATGATGAGAATATTTCAAAATGAATTTTGAAATCCATGTTTTTTTAAAAATTAAAGTTAAAAACTATAGATTCACTATGAACATTTTTAATAATGTTCAATGTCAGATAAAGGGAACAAAATATATTAAAAAGTAACCAGAATTCAAATTTTTAGATTCATGAAAATGAACCACCAGTAAAATGGGATCATTTTGTAAATGTTTACAATTTGGATAAACTGAATCCTGGGATTTTAAAAGTTTGTCCTAAATTATCTGCACCTCATATAGTTTTGAACAGTTCTGCAAAAATGCGTGTTCGTCTTGCTGTGCAGGTAGCATTATTATTCATTATTTTATTTTTATAGACATTTATTCTTTTAACTAATAATGATCTAATGAAAATTTAACAGCTAGAGTTGAAGAACTAGCATCTCAAGTTAATGATTTGCATGAACAGGTTTTATATTAATTTTTAAATAGATAGTTTCCAAGTCATAATATATTATTATATTTTAGGTTGATGCAGCTTTAGGAGCAGAGGAATTAGTTGACCTTCTGGGTTAACAAAAATTGAATTTGGAAGATAAAGTGGTAGAATTAGAGAAAGCAGCGACTGATCTAGAAGCGATACAAGATATTAATGATCAACTCCAAGAAGATAGTACAGAGGTGAAAATGCAATTACATAAAGAATTAGATATGGCAAATGCTAATATTAGAGAGGTTTTAAATAGAATTAATGGCAAACATTTTATTTTTATTTATACTTAAGTCTTATTTATTTTAAAGTGTGTCAAAGAAAAAGAACGAGCATTGGAAAGTTTAGCTGATTGGAATTTGGTTATTGAAAAATTTAAAGATCTGATTAATAAACTACGAGAACAAAATCAAGATCTACAAACTCAATTAATGAGAGGATCTGCATCAAAAGATGAAGTTCGGTCATCAATACCAGAAATGCTTGACTTTAAGGTTTACTATGAATTAAAATATTTATTATATGAAAAAATAATTAAAAATATATTATTTATTAGAAAATGTTTGTTTTGTATTAATTAGATGAAACACAACAACAATTAAAAAGAAAGTCAAAAGAATACAATTAAACGATGGACCATTTGCAAGCAGATATTGATTCACTAGAAACAGAAAAAGGAGATCTAAAAAATAAACTTAAACATTTCTCAAGGAAATTCTTGTTGAGCTTATAAACAAGTGAGTTATACTTTTAAGCAGTAATTAAAATATAGTTCTTAAATTTGAGTTGCATAATAATTCCATATTTTTTCTTTTCAGTGACTGCTACTCGAAATGATAGTTATCAACCATACCAAGAATCTCCATTCTTACTTAACGAATTAGAGTTAACCAAAATGGCATTAAAACATGAAATAGATCAAAGAGCCAAGCTTGAAAATAATTATTGTGAACAAATATTTTCTCAATTAAAACCTTTGCTTGTAAGTTAATACACTTATTTTAATTTATGAAATAACAATATTATAGTAATGACTGATGAAGTATTTGTTGCAATATAATAATCATAATATTTTACAAATTAAAACCTTTTTCAATTTTGATTTCTAGTTCAATTTAATAACTGCCTTGAAAGTTGGGTGGGTAGGTGGGACCAGAGGCGGAACTAAGAATTTTTACGCCCGGGGAAAATATTAAAATTAAGCCCAATCATAGACCAAGATTGAAAATACAATATCATTCCCTACAATTGTTTTATCATAACTGGAACTAAAATTACAAACATACTTATTAACTTTTAAACACATAATAATATATAATAATTAATATATTCTGCGGACTGTGGTGTAACCAAGTTTATACTAATAAACTATCACACCAAAAGCACTTTAAATTTAAAAACTTAGTCAACATATTGTTGATACATTTTTAATTACTGGAAATACTGTATTGGTTACTTAATTGTATTTATTATTAGAAATAATAATAATATTAGTTAAACATATATAAATGTTGAAAAATATTCAAAACTTTAATTACCTACCTATACTGTATAAAAATTGTAAACACTTTTGCTGTTTTGGTTCTATGCGCCTCAGGCCTCAGCCTTCAATTATAATAGATTTTTATGGTAAAATATAAAATCTTTTATTCTGATTAGGGTACACAATTTAGGCCAGTAAAAAATTGTATTTAATTAAACAATTTATAATAGAAAAAATGAAAAAGTAAATATTTAAAATCAAATCTTTTTTTTTAAACATAAACAAATGTATATCTATCTTGGTAAATATTATAATACATAATATTATAAACTATAATATATTAACATCATTTTTAATATACAGATATAATATGTGTATCGTACGTTGATTGATAATTTTATAACAGTTATTGTGTAGGTATCAGCAATTTTAACGAAAACACAGCATCAATAAATGCCTAGGTATAGTTAATAGTTACATTTTCACTCAGAATCTTAATAATTATAGTATATTAGTTGTATATGCTTGCAGTAGGTATGCTAATGCCAGTATACCAGTATATACTTAGTATACTATTACGAATCTATTCATAATCTTACTATATTAACTTTATTTTTTTTTTCATTAATTCCAAGGTCATCACTACAACATCATAAACAAATAATGAGAAATAAAAATGTTTTCTTAACTTCTATCACCAAGCATTAAATAAAGAACTAAAGAAAAATTACGCCCACTAACATTTTACGCCCGGGGATCAATCCCCGGCTTCACCCCCCTAGTTCCGCCCCTGAGGTGGGTGAAATAATAGTGTATACTTCTGAGACCTGCTATAATATTACTAAACACATTAATGTCATTAAATTATGTACATTTAATTAGTAAGTTAGTTTAATTAGTTTCACAGTCATTTGAAAGGGTGTTCATTTGGAAGAAGTGGGAGGTGTGTTTCAATCAAACTATTTGAACTGCCAGTTTTAATAATTAAGAGGATATTATAACACGAGCATTTGTTGTCTCCGTCTTACAATTACGTAACAGCACATTTAAGCTTAGCAGATCACGTTTGACTTTGTTAGTTTAAATTTAGAGTGAATGAAACTTGATGGTAAGAAAATTATCTTTGTTTTTATA